ACAATAGGGCTCTGTGCCTGCCAGGGACATGAATCATGTCAGGGAAGTGAGAATAATAAAATATTGTTTAATATACTGCCATAGACACAGCAGATGTTTAACTTTCTTTCAATAAAAATGACCCCATATCATTTTATTAACTTCAGGGATGCATTAGTCTCCTCTCCAGAAGGCAGGAGAAAATCCAGCCATTGTAGCAAAAATTAAAGAGGAAATTGAAGGGGGATAAGGGGGATGTTATCGTGGCATGTTTTCTGCAGCTCTGTAGCACAAATGGCCCTGGAGCAGCTCCTATCAATCTCACTCGTATCTGCAAAACCAAGCAGAAGGAATTTGTACCCCAAATCAGCCATCTCCAAAAGCACCCCCAGGCTGCTGGCTCCTGAGCTCTGAGGAGCCTCGGAGCTGCTCTGCTGCCAGCCTGGCACACTCCAGTGCAGATTGTGGGGAGGGGGCTGCAGAACCCCCAGCAGCCAGCTGCCCGGGGTGTGGGCATTCACAGGAGCTGCTCCTGCATCCTCCTGCTTTTAACTCCAGCAGCCAGCACACTTTGCTCCAGGAAGCTGCAAGCTGGGATTATTGCTTTTCAAGGCACTCCAAGTGTTTTTCTCAGCATGGGGAGTATGTTTTGATGTCTACTGCTTTTACTTCAAAAGGCTATTTGACCATATTCTGCTTTGACATCCTTGTAAAAATATTTGAAGTGCTCCAGCAACGTGAGAGTGCTTTGAAAAGCCCACTTTAAATTATCATAGTGCTTCATGCTTTTATGAGCGCTTGAATTTGGGCAGTTTTGTATCACAGAACAATTTCATCACGTTAAAGCTCATCAGTTTGATGAGCTGGAATTTAGAAATGATGAGGATGGTGCACATGTGTAATGTAATTTCTGGAATTATGAAACTTTTGGCAGAGGCATCAGTGCCAGGCTTTGCCAGGGCTGGGTTTGTGGCTGTGCCTGGTGTCAGTCACTGCCCAGTGAGTGGGACAGGAAAGGAGAAAGGGAAAGGTTAAACCAGAGAGACTCAGGTCTGTTGGAGCAGGAATTAGGGCATCTCCAGACTATCAGTATGTTTGACAAAGTTCTAAAACGTGCAGTCAGTGAAGGGGAATCCTCTCCCACATTTTAATTATTTCAGTGTCTGCCTGGGCCTGGCAGCGAGGCCCAGCCCTGAGCAGCTCCCAGCTGAGCAGAGCACTGCTCCTCACACGTGCCCAGCCCTCAGAGCTGCTCTGGAGCACCTGGGCTGCCAGGGAAGCCATTTGTCACCAGGATCACAGCAATAGTGACCAGAAGTTAGGTGTGCCCCAGCCTGGGCGTGCTGGCACCCAGCACTAACCAGTTTCCATGGCTGCAGAGCAGAGCAGAGCAGCCTTTGGCTCTGCTGAGATCCCACCAGGAGAAAACTGCTCTGGGAAGGGGCTGGGGTGGACAGCAGGGCCTGGGGGCTGCAGGGCACCGAGGGCCAGCCCTGGGGGCTGCAGGGCACCAAGGGCCAGCCCTGGGGGCTGCAGGGCACCAAGGGCCAGCTCTGCTGCAGCCCAGGCTGGCCCTGGCATGGGCTGAGAGCTCCAGAGGAGACCCCAGCACGCCCAGGCTGGCACTCAGACAGTCCCAGGGTCCCAGTGCTGGGGTTCCACCTGCACAGCCTGAGCAGAGCTTCCCTCCTTGTCCCCAGTCCAGGGGAGTGTCCCCTGTCCATGGCAGTGCTCTGCTCCCTGGTTTAGGGGCTCGTGTCAGACCTCAGCACTGGCCAGACCTCCTGGCAGGGGGAGGAGAAGCTCTCAGAGGATGCTCTGGGGCTGCTGAGTCTGAGCTGGCCTGGGCAGCTGGGGACAGACACTGCTGGGGACAGACACTGCTGGGGACAGACACTGCTGGGACAGTGCCAGGACAGTGCCAGGCCTGGCTGTGCCCCTCCATCCCAGAGCTGGCTGTGTCCCAAGCTGCAGCCCAGCCCAGCTGGGCACAGAATTCCCCCCAGGAACATCCCCGAGCGCTCTGTGCGTGTTTGGGACAGAGCTCTGCAGAATGTCCTGGCAGAGGAAGCAGGTTCACTGAAAACATGTGTAAGGAAGCAGCAAAAGAGCCACAGAATGGCATTTTGTGCTCAGTGGCAGGGTGTCACACCCTGCAGGCTCCTTTGGCTAAGCCAGCAGCCCCAGGCTCCAGGCACGGGCACTGCCACCAGCTCTGCTGGCTGTCACCCTCTGCTTGCTCAGAAGTGACTCTGCCTCAGCTCCTGCTCAATGCAAACTGCTCAATCTGCTTCCCCAGAGGGCTCTGCCTTGCTCTGCATAGAAACAAAATCACTGGGCTAAGATTTGGTGTTGGAAATTGCTGTTTGGAAATTAGGAACTCTGTGCAGCTTCTAACTGCAGTTTTTTGTCAGGCTGAGCAGCCTTGCCTCATGTCAGCCCTGAGCAACTTCTGTTAACACAGAAATGCACAAATAAAACCAGCTCAGAGGTGACTACAGACTTTGGAGGGAATAGTGATGGATGTCTCAAGTGCTGGAATTGCACTCGTGCTGGAGGTTTACATAAGCAGAATAAATGAAAAGAGCTCCCCTTTTTTTGAGGAGGGATGTTCAGTATAGATACAAAGGCAGGAAAAACCAGGTTTTGCTGTACTCTGGAAATATCCACCATTATATGAGCAATGCACCCACCTTCTGATCTCCAATAAAACACAGGCACCCTCCTTCACCCTGGTTAGAGCCGGGGGAGGCTGTAATTAGCCTGCAATGCTAATTCTTTCTACAATTCTTTACAAGTCAAAGTACCAAACTTTACTGAGAGACCTCCTCTTGTTCAACAAGGGCTTTTCTGTGTTGGGCTTTGAATTTAAGGCACCTGGAAAGACAAAGGCTTCAAAGCATCCATTAGGGTAACTCCTGTCACATCTTCCCACTGCACTGGAACAGCCCAAGGAGCGAGTGGAAAATTCAAACTGAATCTTCAAGGTGTTTCATTAATGAGGAGCCGTGCTCAGTCATGGAGTTAATTGCTTGGTTCTTATTTCTGTGACTGGGGTGGAAGCACGAGAAGATGAGATGGGGAGGAAGAATCACTGAGCCTTTGAGTCACTCAGAAGCCTCATCCCTCTGCTGAGAAGTGTCAGATTAACATTCATTAATGGTCATAATTACCTGTGCCTGGAGCTGAGCCAAGCCATCCCAAATGAAAATTGAATTGTACAAGGGAGTGCTTGTTCAGTGCTCTGCAGAGTGCAGGAGCAGCAGGTGCTCCAGGCTGGCACTGCCAGGGGCCAGCAGGGCTGAGCTGGCCCTAAACCATCCTTCACTGCCCTGTCCCACTCCCAGAGCCCCCAAACCCTCGGGAACCTGCAGATCATCCTCCTGGCCTCAAACTCGGCTTTAACCTGCCCTTAGCAGTGGGAAATGTATCAGTGCTGCTGATAAAATCCAAGAACCTGGGGGAACACGTGCTGAAGCTGAGTGGGCAGCAAGGGGCAGAAGCAGAGCTGCCATCCTGCAGAGCAGGGAGCACTGCAGAGCCAGACCTCAGCAGGCTCCCAAACAGCCCTGAGGAGGGGAAAAATTACTGGGTCCTGTTCTGTCTCTTATGCAGCTTCCCCTCTCCTAATATTACGCTTTTTTAGCTGGTTATAAATGGGATATTCCAGAAACACAGCATATGGAGCTTCTAAAATACAGTTAGAAAAGGAAATTAGTTTTTCCTCATAGAGACATTATTCTTCAGTCATTCCAGTTTTAAATCATACTGAGGAATGCAATAGCTGAAGCACTCTGGCTGATTTATCTGGGCAAGGATAGGACACTGCTGTAGTGCTTGACAGAATTAATGGGGTGCCTGTGGACATTCAGAAATCCAACACCATTCCCCTGTGTCTTCAGGAAATAAAGGCTACAGAACAAGGTAGTTATAGTATCATTTTATTCACCTAGAAACAAAGGGTCGAAAGTCACAGCATGGAGGTTCATTTTATTTTGTAAACTCATTAAAAAGATGTCCATGTACAAAATAAGGACATTTTAAACAACAGAACGGCAGACAAAGGAAACTATAAAAATTCAACACATTAATAAAAAGGCTTTATTTTCTTTCTGCATAATTCCTTGCACCTTCCATACCAGTCTGCACACACTCTGAAGTACAGTTGTTAGCATCATTAAAATTCAAGAGGCTGAACAGAAAGCCATTTGCTCTGCTGGAGGAATGTGTGGCTGAAAGATCCAAACCCTGGAGCACGTTAAATAAAGTAAGACAAGACTGAGGGACCTGGCTAAAGGCTGCTAAATGGTTACTGTGCATTGATCTGCTCAGAATTCCAGCTCGCTTTGCTTCCTGCAAATGTTTGGAACAGTCCTTAGGGGAGGAAAGTGTTAGACTGAACAGGCCTTGTGCAAAGGTGGCTGTTGTCCTAACACATCGAATGCAGGCTCAAAAATAAAAACACTGCTGCAGTCAAACAGCTTCAACCCAACCAGTGTGAACTGTGCACCAGCAGCTCGGAGCAGCTCCTGGCATTTAGGAGTCAGGCTGGATGAAATCCTTGACACACGGCCAGTAACAGGTCAATTATAAAACTGAAGCTGTGCTAATTTGTAATGAATTTGTCCAGAAGGACTCCCAGCACTGAACCCCACGTGCTGCTTGAGGCTCCTGTTGGTTTCTCTCCCCAGGGTAGGCTTGTCCTGCAGAGTGTCAGTGATCCAGTTCAGCTGGGGTGAGAACAGCCCCTGCCCTGCCCCAGGTGTGCCAGCCTCAGCAGCTCAGCAAACACCTCCCCTGGAGCAGGAGCAGCGGGAATGCCCAGGCACTCACCTCCAGCCTTGCTGTCCTGCCAGGCGTAGTGCGAGACACAGCCCTGCCCTAAGGCACTTGCACTGAGAGCGGCAGGGCTGCGGGTCCCTGGGCAGGAGAGCTGCTGGCTGGGCACTGCCCTCACTGCTGCTGCTGGCAGTGCCCTCACTGCTGCTGGCTGGGCACTGCCCTCGCTGCTGCTGCTGCTGCTGGCAGTGCCCAGCTGTGCCTGCAGGCAGCAGGGCTGCTGGCTGGGCACTGCCCTCGCTGCTGCTGCTGGCAGTGTCGGGCTGTGCCAGTGCCAGGCTCACAGCCTCCCGTTGGCAGCCGCCTCGCCCGCCCTGCCCTTGTGGCGCTCGTACTTGACAGAGACGATCAGGAAAAGCAGCAGGGTGGCTCCCTGGATAGCAGCCAGCAGGAAGAAGTAATAGTTCAATTGGCAGCCATTAATATTGCCTAGGAAGAATTGGGGAGGAAAGAAGCATTAACTGAGGTGATAAAAAGGAAAACGTGAATCTGGGCAAGGGTAGGTGGTGAAGACTTTTCTGCAGAACCAAACCAAACCACATCTCCATCCCATTTTCATGATCCACAGCAAAGGCTGGCACTGCTGAGGAAGATGTGCACAGGATCAGCAATGCTTTATTTTGTTCTCCAATGCCTTAGACCAAGTCAAATGAAAATTAAAAAGAAAAACAAAAACCAAAAAAATGAATGCTGTAAAGGAAGAAGTTGGCAACTCCACAGATATAGAAAAAGCCATTATTGCAATTGTTTCTCAGCCTTTTTTGGCAACAAAGTTTAGAGTTCATGAAAACATGGGTGACTTCTTTGTGGTTCAGTTCACCTCTGATGCTCCCTCAAAACTGTCACCAATTACTGCTGTGGACATTGAGCAGTGTTAAATGTAGAAAGCTCATTGCTAAAACATCACTCCTCTGCTAGGAAGCAGCCCAGCTCCTGCTGGATTTCCAAGAACAATATATTGTGGCTCATTTCCAGCACACCACAGCCAACTGGACCATTACAATTATCAGATGTGTTGCAGAGACTAAAACAGTGACGTGTACATGGACCCTAACCAGCTGTTCCTGCAGCAGCCCTATAAACGTTCAGATTAAATTACTTTAATTACTGAAACTTAAGATTCAATTAAATGAACTTATCATAAAATGCAATAAAATTAAACTGAGCCTTTCCTTGACATTTAAAATACAATATAGATGTGAATCTCCATTTCAAGAGCAGATGTGTTTAAAGAGTAGTAATTATCCTTTATGAGATGGGATATTAAAGCCATGAAATCTTAGTTTTGGTGGGAGAAACAAGTCAATTCAATGGCAGCAAGCACCCCTGAAGTGCTGGCAGGGAGGGAACTTCCTCAGGAGCTTTTGGAGGCAGTCAGGCACCCCCAATGATGCCATGAGATGGCAGAAATAGGAATTTAGGGCATGTGCTTACAGTCATTCTACAGCACATAATGAAGCAGCTCCAGGCATTCCTTGACTGACTCGTTGCAATTCCTCCCCTGGAAAACCCAGGTAAAGTTCAGTGTGCCTCTGGTAACTTTTCACCTTGCTACAGCAATGAAAATGGAGTTATAGAGTTACAGAGGGTTACTGTGGGTGCTGCAGCTGCAGATCACCTGAGCCAGGTGTGCCCCTGCTGGGGAAAGGCACAAAGCCCTGGTGTGACAGTCCCAGTGCCACTGAGCTGAGCAGAGTGATGCCATGGCTCAGGAGAGGCACAAACCCCTGGTGTGACAGTGCCCAGTGCCACTGAGCTGCTCAGTGATGCCATGGCTCAGGAGAGGCACAAACCCCTGGTGTGACAGTGCCCAGTGCCACTGAGCTGCTCAGTGATGCCAGTGGCTCAGAAATGGCACAAACTCCTGGTGTGACAGTGCCCAGTGCCACTGAGCTGCTCAGAGTGATGCCATGGCTCAGGAGAGGCACAAAGCCCTGGTGTGACAGTGCCCAGTGCCACTGAGCTGCTCAGAGTGATGCCATGGCTCAGGAAAGGCACAAAGCCCTGGGGTGACAGTCCCAGTGCCACTGAGCTGAGCAGAGTGATGCCATGGCTCAGGAGAGGCACAAAGCCCTGGTGTGACAGTGCCCAGTGCCACTGAGCTGCTCAGAGTGATGCCATGGCTCAGGAAAGACAATCCCCTCCAGTGCTGGCCACCTCTGGGTAGATTTAGCACAGCCCAGAGATTTCACAGGAGATTTGGCAGTGTGTTCCATCAGCTGCTTCAGAGAACAAGGGCAAGGGGCTGAAGAAGCACCAGCATTATTTGTGGGGAATTTATTCCCTACTGAGCCATTACCAGCTGAATGATCTCTGTATTGCAGAAAAGGTTCCTTTTCCAATTTTGAAACTGACTGGGGAAAAGAAGTCTCAATGGGATGAAATATTCCTTTGGGGAGCACACTTCCATAAGGTTCAGGCTGCTGCAGCTTTGAAAGAACAATCTTATCTTCTGCAGCTTTGAAAGAACAGCTTGCAAGCCACAGATGCCAACTTGTGGCACATGCAGGAATCAGACACCACAGCTTTTTGGTAGATGCAAATCCAGGTGAAATGGCAAATTCTCTTGGACCACAGTGAAAGTTTAGGCTGCAATTTTAAGCCATGTACACATGGCAGGTCTAGCAGACATTTTAAGAACTGTTCACACTCCCCCTGTTGAGCTAATTAGCCCACTGAGGATGGGAGGGTTTGCTGAAATTCCCAAGGTGCCACCTACTGGTGCCAGGAATTATTTTTAACCTCCACTGGCAACTCAAGCAGGTGATTTGTTGAACTTTAGGAGTATAAATAGCTAGCAGACAGAAGTGCAGAATTAACTCATGGTAATTTCAATGAAGTCACTTGAAATGAGGAAGCTGAATAATCACTTGGAGAGAAATGGGGACATTTTACTTCCCATAATCACAGAAAGCAATTTCGGTACTTTATACCAAATATCTTCTTCTGCTGCACGTAATTTAAATATTTTTTACTGAAATGAAAATATTTGTAATTTCTAGAGATGAAATGCAGTAACAGCTGAGCAAGGAACTGAGGCTCTACAGAGGTGTTCCTCATGCTTTCATGAGGAAAGTGAATTATTTTGCACAGTCACATTATTTCATGCTTAGATGCAAAATGAAACTATAACAGAGCAGTTGACAAATTAATATTTTGAAAATAATAACTGTGTTAAAACTGCTTTAAAACTCAACAGTGCCATGTCCTTGATGTTAACTGAACCTTCTACTTTCCAGAGCATGAGCCCACTGATAAACACACTTACCAAAATCTGTGTGATTACTCATCCAGCCAATTTCTTTAATAGACACCAGGGCCAACAATCCAGAGCCAACAAACGAGCCAATGCCCGAGAAGAAAAAGAACAGCCCCATGATGGCACTCTGCATGGACTTGGGAGCAGCTGAATATGCAAATTCTAGGCCTGGATTAAAAGATGAAAAAATGCTATTAGAGAATGTAAGAAGTGAGAGTAGATTGTTCTAGAAGGGTTCTAGAAGCCACAGGTGTGTGGTGAATCCCCAGCAGTTCCCAGCTCCTTTTAATTGCTTTATAAATCCTCTTAAAGCTCATCACTGTATCAACCCAATGCTGAGACACAGACTTTGATCTTATTTATGTTCCATGTGTAAAATTAGGAAATCTTCTGAACCAACATATTCATTTTTCTGTCTAAAATGATCCTGAAAGAAATGAATTCAACTAGCTCAAAGCTGCAGTTCCACGTTTCCCAGCTCCCTTCTTCCCTGATCCCTGGCTGCTGGGCAGTGCAGGCAGGACAAGGAAAAGTCACTCTTGCATGAGCCAGGAACATTTATTTCTTACAGCCTCAGTGGCTGTCTCTGAATGTGCAGACAGAGAAATTAACTGGAACTGGAAAGGCAGTAATTATTATAATTTAATTTACTTTTGATCTAAAATTCTTTGAGTTCATTGCTTGCTAGCAAGCAATTCTTTTTAAGATTTGTAGATATAGGGCTTGAACTTTCAGCTGTCTTTGCTCAAATTTCAACCAATAAACCCAAGAAAAAGGTACCAGTGACCATCCATCTGCAAATCTGTGCTACCGAGTTTGTGTACCAAGAGCACACACTGGGTTAGCTCTGCCACACAAAGATTAATGCCCATGATTAACTCTCCTTTTTAGAATAATACTCCTGTCAAAAATCAAATGGGATTATTCACAGGAGACAATCAAATACGTTCCTTGCAGAGCTTTCTCTGACAGGTGAAATGCTTGTTTCAAAACAGTCTGCTCATACTGGGAATTAATGCTACCTCATCTAACATTTCTCTTTGCAAGGAGAGCATTACAGAGCTGGAATTGCATAACTCTTGTGTCTGGCATAATGAAGGCATGCTTTATTTCCAGCACCACTGCTGTCTGCCTGCTCCAGGCAGCTCTAGCAGAAACCCAGTGGCATTTCTCCTCAGGCACAGGATGAGGCAGCAGGGGCAGCCTGGTGCTGTGCCCCTGGAGAGGAGCAGAGCTGGCTGCTCCTGAGCTGTGCCTGGTCACCACCCCGTGCTCCTTCCCCTGCAAACAGGGCAGAAAGGGCCAGCAGGGAACTGAAACTCCTCACCCTGCTCAAACCACAGCCCGAGGGCAGGACAGACAGACACAGCTGCCAACGGCAGGGGCACAGTGCTACTGCTGCCCAGAATTAACACTGCCTTTGGCTCCTGGGCTCTGCCACCATCCAACAATTCTGATTTCCCAAGGAGTATCTACCTGTCCAACTGCACTTAAGGAAAACCAAGCAGAGCACTCTGGGCACACAGCAGCTTGTCTGTGACTTCTGGTGAAGGGATCAGAGCTGCCAAGGGCTCCTGAGCCTCAGCCACAGCTTGGGCACCAGGCCACTGAATGTTCTGGGCTAGTTAGCTCAGGTTTAACACGTGAAAGGATCTGGACTCTTTCTTTTCTTGTTCCTTTCACAGATACACTGGATCTGACTGTTCCAGCTGGAAAAAACCTTAAGACTCAGAACAAAACCCAAAACGAGTGTAACCCTGCACTTTCTGCAACAAAATAAGGTACATTTCTAAATGTGAATGGCTTTTGCAACAACACTAATATTTAATCTGGCATAAATCTTCTCTTTGCCTTCAGAGCCCCTTTGGCTGCTGGCAGCCATTGATAATGATTTCATGCTCCTGCAAACAAGCACTTCTGAAATTAAAGCCTCGCTGGTGTTGTCATGTGAGATTACAATTCCCAGCTAAACAAGGGTGCTTTAGGAGGATTGACAGAATAATACAAAAGATTAATGCAATGTGTGTCATCTTTTTAAAGGTACCTCAAGTGTAACTAATGTGGCTTAATAAGAATATGCTTAGTTTTACAGTAAACACAAAAACAGAGGTATGTTTCAGCTCTTGTGCTATTTATTCCCTTTTTGCTCACAACAAACATTTCCCCATCATTATGTGTTTGTAACCAATAACACTTTGCTTATTTTAAGCCTGGATTTCATAGCACAGTAGATGCCTTTATCAAGTTTAATATTGAATTGGTAAAGTACACTCTGAGTCTTGAGAGGCCTTCTTAAAAATATTAAGAATTATGTTCAGATAACAATCAGAAGGCAGGAAAGAGCCTTTGTAAAGAAAATCCAATCAAAGTGCACTACACAGAGCAATTAAGCTCTGCATAGAATTTCTGGTATTTTTTTCAAACACTGACCAAGAGTTTTTGAAGTTATAATGCTGTTGGCACAGACCCAGCAGAATATTCCCCTAAGAATTGTGCAAGCCTTAAAGGCTTCTCACAGAGAACTCCACTGAAGTCCTCTCAGCCTGGAGCTCAGCAGACAGAGAGTGCTTCAAGACCTTCCCACAGCCTGCAGACAGGGTTGCTATTTTTCCCTTGTGAACACCTATGAACTATTAATAGTACCTGATAGAGAAACAAGGCTGTACAGGGGGGAAGAAATGGGTTTAATTTTCCATGAACACTGTGTTTCTGGTAAGCCATCTGTTTATCTGAGTTAGGATGAAATAGCAGCACCACCACTAAACTGACCACAAGTAATTAATTTTACTCTTTGGATAAAAATGCTAAATACAGCCTCAGTTTTAGTAACTAACTAAATCAGGCAAGATTTTATCTTCAGGGTTTTGTGTGTTGGCATCTGTGACAGGTACCATACACGCACAATGAAATGGACAGCAAATGAGTAGACAGAAAAAACAACAAACCCCACTTTTATTCTTGTTGCCAAGCAATGCAAGCACCTTATTTTATTTCCTAACAAGTGTGATGACAGCAGCCCACGAGTAACCAGACACCTGGAGCAGAGGTTCTGTGTTGCACTCCGAGGGGAACAAATGGCCCAGGACAGCGGGGGCACGGCCAGCAGGAGCTCCCAGGGCAGGGCTCTCACCTCAGGCACTGTGATTGCCCAGGAGTGAAAGCAGCCTCCCCGGGGGAAGTGAAAGGGGAGCTGTGCCACCAGCCCTCGAAGGAAAGGAGCTGTGGGGGCAGCCACCTGCAGTGGATGAGCCTCACAGCTCAGGATTTGCAAACAGAACTCAACACTCTAATAAGGGACTGTAGTCAAGCAGAAATGCAGTGAGGTTTGCAGTGAGTTTCACATGAGGCACTGGAGGGTTTGCATGGATTGCACAGGAGCTCCAGTCCCTTACAATGAGTTGTACATGAGGCACTGCAGGGTTGGTTTATTGCACAGGAGCTCCAGTCCCCTGCAGCAGGGCCAAAGAGGCTCCTGGGCTCTCAGAGCTGTTCCAGTGCTGGGAACCAAGCCCTGCTCACAGCATGGAGCAAACCCGTGCTGAGAGGTTCCAGATTTCACCTGTGCCAGCCCAGCAAACAGGGCTGAGGGCCACGGGCAGCACAGAGGACGCCTGAGCTCTCCTCCTGTACGAGCCTGCACTTACAGAAACACCAGAAAATCTGATTTTCTGCTGCTCTCCTCCTTCAGTGGCAGCTCAGAATCAGTGAGCACACAGCTGTCCTTGCACCTCCCAGGCCCTGCAGGGAACTGAGCACCTCCTGCATTTGCTCAACACACACAGAATGTCAGCAGAGCTTCAGTTTGCTTAGGGTCATGTTGAACTACTGGAACAGCTACAGGAAAACTGATCTAGAAATAAGGTAGATAAAATTATATAAAAATAGCTGCTTCATTATTAATAGTCACAAACATTTTTCTTATTTTGCAGATGGAAAAACTCAAGTAACATGAATTTAAACTGGTAAGTCTTTCTAAATGTGGTTTATTTCTTCCCTTTGCCCTCAGAAAGGTGTTTCCACTTACTAATTGACTTTCTAAACTGTGACCAAAAAAAATCACAAAGTACAAATTGTATTTCCAACACAGAGGAATATTCAGAGGACACAAAACTGCACTAAAATAAACTATTGGAAGAGTAGATTGTTTTCCATTAGGGCTTGCAAATATCCAGCACTAACTAGATGCCACACAAATATTTTAGGTGTCACTGCTTGAAGTTCAGTTCTGAAAGCAGTCTTACATAGCCAGGCTTCAAATGTGCAAGACAATGGTGAGCTCTGTCACTTCAATTGAGCAATATTGTATAAAAAGGTATTGGGAACATCAGAGCTTACCAGTAATGACTTGAGAAGTATTTATTTTCTAAGATTCCATGGTTTATGATAGATACAAAAGCAGATTTGAGGCTCTTACCTGCTATACTTGCGAAGATTTCACTGAATCCAATCAGCACATATTGAGGGATCTGCCACCAGATTGGCAAATCTGCAGCATGGTATGTAACATTCCCAATTGTCTGGTTAATTGTTTTAACCTTGACAATTTTCAGTCTGTTGCTTTCCAGGATTCCTGTGTGAAAAGGGAGGGAAAAGAGATTGACCTAAGATGCAAACATTGTTTCTCCACATTAAGAATTAAATTAGGATTCAGCCCTGCATTGCAATTAGAAATGATACAAGAGGAATATGTATTTATTTCCTGACATAAAGCATTTCAGACTATTTCTGCTGTTGTTATTTCAAGACAGAGTTGTTCTGCCATAGAATTAGTGATTATATTCTCATTCAGTAGCAATAATTATACAAACACTTAGCCCATTTCTGGATGGATCAGCTCAGAGCTCTCATGGACACTGTGCTGGGGATTTTTTAAAGACAATTTCATTTTCACAAACTACTACTTTGCACTGTTGAACCATTTCAACTGCCACCATAGTATTCATAAATTAGAAACCCTTTTGCTTATGGAAATGGCTACACCAGTCCTGCAGAGCTATGAAAACCCTCTATGAATATGATTATGACATTTATATGACACTTTTCATCCAAAAAGATCCAAGAGCTCATTAGAGCTTGATTTACAAGCAATACATTGCATAGAAAGTACTTCATATGGGATGAAAAAGAGACAGGACAGTGTAAAATATAAGCTTTTTCAGCTTGCTCAGCACAACAGTTTAGGGTAGAAAGTGAATGTCAAATAATGCTGTGGGGTTTTGTTGAAGTTGCCCAGATTAAACAATTGACTCACAGTTCCATAAAATACACTGAATAGCTAATAATTAACAAAACTCCCTGCTGCACCCAAAAGAGACCTCTATAAAGGCACTCTTGTCTCATCCTTGGAAATGAGGTGAATTTATCCATCCCAGCTCAGAGGAGCAAGGCTGAGCCACTTCCCTCAGGGTGCTCACCCTCCAGCCTCCCTCAGCGCTGTCAGCTCGGGCTCTGTCTGTCCTGACCCGACCTGCCCTCACCCTGGGGCACACAAGGTGTCCCCAAAACCCTGTGCAGGGTTAGCCAGGCTGCCTCGAGGCCATGCCAGCGTGTGCAGGGACTCCCCCTGCCTCCTCCCTGCCAGCTGCCATTCCTGGAGCACCCTCAGTGCCACGGCCACGTTCTGTGTGCCCTGAGACCCTGAGCCATGCTGGCAGCACGTCCCAGAACAATCCCAGCTCCTGGTGTACCAACAATCCCAGCTCCTGGTGTACAAACAATCCCAGCTCCTGGTGTACCAAACAATCCCAGCTCCTGGTGTACAAAACAATCCCAGCTCCTGGTGTACAGAACAATCCCAGCTCCTGGTGTACAGAACAATCCCAGCTCCTGGTGTACAGAACAATCCCAGCTCCTGGTGTACAGAACAATCCCAGCTCCTGGTGTACAGCAGGGTTCACAGGAACAAACACAGTTCCTGGTGTACAAAACAGTAACAATTCCTAATGTGTACAGCAAGGTTTACAGAAACAATCCCAGTTCCTGATGTACAGCATGGTTCCCAGGAACTGATCCCAGTTCCTGATGTACAAAACAATCCAAATCCCAGTTCCTGATGTACAGCAGGGTTCACAGGAACAATCACAGTTCCTGGTGTACAAAACAGTAACAATTCCTAATGTACAGCAAGGTTTACAGAAACAATCACAATTCCTGATGTACAGCATGGTTCCCAGGAACAATCACAGTTCCTGATGTACAAAATAATCACAATCACAGTTCCTGATGTACAGCAAGGTTCCCAGAACAATCCCAGTTCCTGATGTAGAAAATTCCTGAAGTACAGCATGGCTCCTGCTCTCCTGTGCCTTCCCAAGTCTGTGACATAAAACCCTGGGGGAGCAGCCAGATCAGCCCCTCTGTGCTAAGTGACAGTGCCAAATGTCTCACTAACATCTAGATTTAGCTAAAGATTGGTCTGAATTCATTCCTTCTTCATTTATTCCTTTATTCCACATTTTCTCTGTTTTCCTCACTTCTTTTTAGGTGACCCATCTTATTTTTATGTATCTTTCTTTAGCTCTTCACCTACCTCAGTGCCCTCTGAACTATGAAGAGCTGCTGTAATTAAAATAAAACTGGACTTCTTGATGTTTTAATTTTAGATAGCTGCCAAACACTTTAGAGTGGAACTTAATTAAAGTGTAAACAAAGCAGTAGAGTCATCTAAGAGCTCAGACATAATTTTATTTATTTACACTCAACACAGAACTGTTGCACCTCAAAACATCAAGTCATCTTAATGTGTTTATACTCTTACAAAATAAGCACTGAGCCACCTAGGAGCACAACTACATATACCAAACTTTGCCATAAATTCATCTTCGAAGTACTTCAGAATCTGGAATCTATTGATTCTTCCCTTAAGACTTTGATAGACAAGTTTCATATTTAATTTTACACTCTAAGTAGTTAAAATAATCTGAACTTCTTGCTATAATGGTTTAAACTCCATAAATGAAGTAGATTTTCCAGCTGAATAACCTTGAACATTGCTGCTCAGAATTCACCATAAGATGCATGAAGCACAGCAGATGTTCATTAAATCTAATCAGTTGTATTTTAATACAGTTTATAAAATATTTTAAATAATCTAACCAATCTAATAGGCAGCCTGAGTAGTGTCCACAACTAATGGCTGTTAGAGAAGCAAGTCAAAATGGAAATATGGCACAAACAAATCATTAAGATATTGCAATGACTGCAAATTCTTGACATTTTTGTGTTTAAGATTTCATTCAGTGTCCCTCTCCAAGGCAGTGGTTGGAAGTGATAGTGTATTTTAAGGATGCTAAAACATGGCAGCTATAAATATCACTTAATGAGAAAATAAAAATTGATGAAACCTAGAAACCGACACCTTGCTAGAAATAAACAGTTTCCTAAACCCCAAATTTGTCACAACTGAAGCCCTTAAATTCCTGTTACAATGAAGAGATGTCAACTTACTCCAAAAGGTTAAACTTTCCAAACAATCACCCAAATAATTCACCTTTCCAGTTTCTACTGGGGCAGGCTTGGGGAAGATCAAACCAACAAAAGCATTTGTTACGTTTGTAGGTGAATTGCAAAAAGCATCAGAAACTTTCCGGAATTTTGCTGTAGGAACCCATTGCCCAGCTCAGCCATCACAGCTTGATGAGCTCTTCCCCACTAGAATAAAGACAGATATTGCTGGTTTTGAATTCCCTCAGATGTGAGCCCACAGGTTCTATTTAAAGAGCTGACATTTGAGTGTTTTACATCATCCTCTCTGCAGCAGCAGTGTCCTAAGAAACACGGAATAAGAGAAACACTTCTATTTAACTTTAAACGACTTTGCTTGAAGAACTTTCCTTGCCCACAAAGTGACCTTGGCCTAATAATTACCTCTCTCATTGAAAGAAATCTTAATAACCATACAAAGTGTCCCTCTCCCTAAAATACTGGGGATCCCAAGTGCTGCAATGAATTTATTTAATGCTGTAATGCTTTATCAGGATGTTCATTACAGTGATGCTGCTGAGGGCTATAGATTCTGTGAAGCATTGCTCAGAGATGTTCAGTTCCACATCAGCAGCACTTAACAACTGGAAATCATCTCCAAAGCAGCTGATTTATGGGGCCAGCAGAGCTGCCATCTTTTCCCTTTCATGCTACAGCTCAGTTATTTTACACTACACTAATTCCCAAACATTAGGGAACAGGAAGATGGGGGGAGAAAACCCAAAGTGGGAGGAAACTCTTGTTCAGCCTTAACCTAACTTTATTATTTCAGAGCAGGGGAAAGGATTTTGGGTAAAATTTCAGCTTTTTTATACTTTTAAGTCAAAATGTATGAAGAAACATTTTTAAAGGGCATATGCAAAGTCTGCTTCAGGCAGGAAAAATGGTCCAATTTTATTGCAAGTGTTCAAAACAGTTTAGTAAATTGTTGGATACAATCCCCTTTATTGAGGGAAATGCATCCATGAAGGCACATTCCAACTATCCCACTAAAAACCATCTGAATAATGCTGAATTAAATATTCACACAGCTCTTTGAAAAATGCTGTTGCAGTGAGCTGAACAATTCCCCATGTCAGGAGATGTCCAGGTCGTTTTCTTACCTGCAGCAAAGGCAGAGCACATCACAAAGAACATTCCAACTGCAATCCTCTTCAGCGAGGATGGCAGCAAGCCATTCCTCTTCAAAATGGGGTCCACCACTTTGTCTTTTAGGGGTATGAGGATGAGGATAAGCACTGCATCAAACATGGTCAGCCAGGCTGCTGGGAACTGAAAGGGGAGATGACTCCAGTTGGCAATTTCACACTTAAGAGTTAATTTTTACTATTATTTTACAAATAAGGTTTTGATTGAACACTTTGATCTGAAATAAACATCAATGCACTGACAGACATTGTGAAAAGTCAAATAAGAGTGTTAAAAGCTGAAGAAAATACTCAGCTATTCAGGTTTTCATTGAATCTGGCTGCTCATACATCTGTAAGCCCAGTTTCTCATCTGACAGAGTTGAACTTTTTACCTAATTCAGTCATGAAAAATATTTAATAACCAAGCTCTGTCTCCTATTAACCTTAGAACTATCAGAAATATGCCACAGAAGAGCAGAAACACTCTTACTAATGTAAATGCAAAGTTCAATTAAAATCAAGTTACACTTGTCAAATGACTAGAGAGGGTGGTGTAACACATGTAAATCCTGGGTTTTACTTCTCTGTACCATTTCTGCAATCACATGATGCCAGCCTTTCTTGAAAAGTACTGATTGAACAGCTTCTTTCAATATGCTGCAGGTAAAGTGATTATTGATTAGGCAGTCTAAAGTAACAAATGTGTCTCAGATTCCAAATGTACCACTGGAGGATGGGGATTCATTCCTGCTGGGATTGCAGGAATGCTTCAGTCCTGCTCTGGAAACTCAGGGCGTGGGGATCCATCAGCTTTCTCCAGAGGTCACACTTTGGCCGCTGAAGGACAAAGAAGCTCTGGATGACAGCAGTGAGAGTTACCTGAATGCATCAGAGCAGGCTGGTGTGAGCCCCAGACCCCTGGTGTGACAAACTCTGGGGTGTGCATCGTGCTGCTGAATCCCCAGAGGCTGGGCCCCTGATGCCCACAGGCACTGCCTGCAATTCCTGTACCACGCTGACAATTTGCATTCCCACTAAAGGGCCCTGGCACGGGCTGTGCCCTCTCACCGTGTGGATGGAGGTGGCGTCGTTGGAGATCTCGGGGATTTTCAGATGCAGGCTCTGCAGCACATACGTCGTCTGCATCTAGCATCAGGAAAGAGGAGTTGAGGTTACTTGGACAAGGAGTGCTGAGAGCAAGATGTTTTTCATTTTGTAACCATTAACAAAGATTATACCAGAGGTGAAATGTTAACACAGCAAACTGAAAACAATTACAGTCAGAACATCATAAGAATTTTTAACCTTGTAGCTATTTTTACTAGGAACACAAAGAATCATTTGTGTGTCTTTGAAAACAATTTCTGCATTGTTTCTTTTGCCCAAAATGTATCTGATATTCTGAATCATCTCCATAAGGCAGAACCTGAAAATTAAAATGAGGTCTAGAGCAGTAAGCCTGACCTATATGAACCAGCTGCAAGATGAAACACAGCACAGCATTTAAGAGATGTGAATTTGTACAACTGTGAGTCTTAACTACAATTGTAATGATTTTATTTTTTTCTATTATTAGGTCAAAATATTATTTGAGAGCATTCCTTAGTAGTCATTTTTCATCTCTCAACTTCAAGGTAAGTTTCCTATTTATAAGAGAACACCCCGAAAATGTTAAATTAGAAATTATGTAAAATATAACTGTAACCATTTGGAACTACTCACTTGAAAATACACTGTCCAGTAAGGTATTAAAGCCAGAAAGACAGGGATAATCTTGACAAGAGCTTTCACATCCTCCACCTTATCTTCTCTGAAGGGGCCCCCCCGAGACAGCTTGGCCATCTCGAAGAGGCTTTGCTTGCGAGGCGGGTGCAGCACTCCCTGGCCTTCACTGGGAGAAGGATTTGAGATGTTTAGTCACACAGAACTGGCAATCTTCCTTATAGAAAGCTAATGCATTTCCAAAATGAGTAATTCGTGTAAGTTACAGCAACACAGCCAGGCCAGAATGGATCCCCAGCAGGTGGAAACACGAGAGGAAACATTCTGCTGTGGAGTTTCCTTATTTCCCATCCTCCCCACACAGCCCAGCCCTAAACAACTGGCAGAACTTGGAGTAACCTGCATTTTGTGATATTGCTGGTTAAGTCACTGAACTGTTTGGCAGTCTGAACACATGAAAGCCACTGCAGAGGCACCTGACACCTCTTACCAGTGACTCAACTCAACCACCAGTATTCCATGGGCAGCTCTTAACAGTGGAAGAATTTTGGCTCCCCATCAAGCTACTCACAGCATTAAGTGCAGATGACAGTGCTTTTCAAACCAGAAGGCAGCCACAAACTCATCTGCCAGACAAGAAAGTGAACTAATGCTGAGAGCAGCCCCGCCAGGCTGTGGTACACCCTCAGGAAGGCTGAGCTGGCAGGACACAGAGCTCAGCTGACACCATGGCCTGGCTGCAGGGACACCCAGGGGTCTCACTGTGCCTCCTCCATCCCCCAGCTCCCAGAGCTAATGCATTTCCAAAATGAGTAATTCGTGTAAGGTACAGCAACACAGCCAGGCCAGAATGGATCCCCAGCAGGTGGAAACACGAGAGGAAACATTCTGCTGTGGAGTTTCCTTATTTCCCATCCTCCCCACACAGCCCAGCCCTAAACAACTGGCAGAACTTGGAGTAACCTGCATTTTGTGATAGTGCTGGTTAAGTCACTGAACTGTTTGGCAATCTGAACACATGGAACCCCACTGCAGAGGCACCTGACACCTCTTACCAGTGACTCAACTCAACCACCAGTGTTCCTGGGCAGCTCTTAACAGTGGAAGAATTTTGGCTCCCCATCAAGCTACTCACAGCATTAAGTGCAGATGACAGTGCTTTTCAAACCAGAAGGCAGCCACAAACTCATCTGCCAGACAAGAAAGTGAACTAATGCTGAGAGCAGCCCCGCCAGGCTGTGGTACACCCTCAGGAAGGCTGAGCTGGCAGGACACAGAGCTCAGCTGACACCATGGCCTGGCTGCAGGGACACCCAGGGGTCTCACTGCGCCTCCTCCATCCCCCAGCCCCCAGAAAGCAGCTCCAGGACTCCAGCTCTCCAGCTCCCAGAGCAAACCCGCCAGGGTGAGCTGAGGAGCTCAGTCCCAGCTGACTGAATGAGGGCACACAGAAGAGCTCATCACAAACCTGTTTGCTGAGTGCTCCCCGTGGCTCTTCTTGGAGCAGCAGGAGTATGTGAGGATTCTGAACATGTCTGTGAAGGCACTGCCATCGGGGGGTTTGGTGATGAAGAAGCTCTGGCCACACAAGAACACCATGAAGGAAATGCCAATGCAGACTGTTGGGATGCTGTACCCGATCACAAAGCTCACGTTCTGCTGGATGTAGGCAATGCCTCCCAGAGACAGGATAGCTCCCAAATTAATGCTCCAATAAAACCAGTTAAAAAACCTTCTTGTGGCTTCTGGACCCCGGTCTTTGACCTGGAGAAGATGAAAAGCAAGCCCTTCAGTTTCTGAAGAAAATAAGGCTAAACAGAATTAGAATCTTTGAATTAGAATTCAAACAAGTTCAATGCACTGAAGAGCTCAGGTTTCATTCAGTCACACTGGAATGATTTAAGTGTTTTGGGCTTCACATGTATTTGATGAGATGACACCTCAGTGAGAGCTGCACCATTATGTGAGTAACCTTCCAGAAGCCCAGCACAGGGATAGAAAAGGCACACTACTGAGAGACACAGCTTCCCCAGAGAGGCCATTCTGATTTCTACTGCCCTGACTCTCACTGGCTCATTTCTCTACAAAAAGCTCCCTCAGATTCACATCCTAGTCCACAGGAGTTTAAGTAACTATTTTCCAGTAACAAAAAGTTAAGCTGCCTAAAAATTAACTTATTGCCACAATTGCTTCTTCCTATTCCATTTTCTAAGCCTCAAATGAATACTTGTTAATTAAACAACAAATTTAATTTTTAACACAGTATTAATGCCTCTCATCAGAACACAAACTGAGCACTTGTCCTTCAGACCTTTAAAAAAATTAAATTTGGGTTGCCTGAGGACCATAAGGCCCCTGTAAGTATTTATCCCTGTGAGTCAGTGCTGTTCACAGTGTTATTTTTTCTGTCTCTCCAGTGGAAGTAAAGACATCCCTGGTTTACAGAACTATCCTGTACAGTTTCACCATCCCTCTTTATTATTGTCTATTGTAAGTCACCCCACATTTTGTAATTCTGTTCAAGGAACCCAGCATCACTCATAAGAGGTGATGTAAGAGAAACGAAGCAAATTAAAATCTGAAATACATTAAAAAGATCAAGTAGTCTGCAGAAGAATCCATAATACTGTGTTGTGAGTGGCTGATGACTGCAAGGCCATTAACAGTGGCTAGCACGTCAGTGCCATGCACCAGCCTGGCTGAGCCAGTTATTTTTCATTTGTAACTGCAGATTTCCCCTCATTTGCCACATCTTCAACAGACCCATATTTAGTTTGCAGTATGAAAAGCAAGCTGTGCCTTTTAAATGAGTTTTTAACACTGCCAGTTCTGATTAACAGCTTCGGGTCTCCCAGTGGTGCACAAACCCATCTGTAGCATTCAGCCAGCCCCACAGAGGAAATGTTGAAGTGTCTATTCCTGTGCACAGTTTATAGCACTGTCAGGCATGCAGGTGCATCTGTTAGAATGTCAAACTCAATCCTGGAGACTGAACCCAAGAAATTCTCCCTCTCCAGCTTCAACTTGGTACTCAATTCCCAACTTTCATCAGCTGCAGCAGTGGAGCAATCTAGGAATTCCTCCTAAAGGCCAATGAGCAGCAGGATATTAGCAAATTACACAGAACACTGCTCCAACTTGTGTAAGTGTTAGCAATGTGTTTGATGGAGTTTCCGTTTCTTCATCACAAAGTCTCAGTTCTCTTATTTCTGCAAGGCAGATGACTTCTCATCCTCCCTCTTGCACATGACCTTGCTGACATCTTTACAAAGGAGAGCTGGCAGAAGAAAGCACACTTTGATGCAGGTAAGAACAGGGAGGCACACCATGAGCCTTCTGTCAAGCGTTATCCCAGCCTCCCACCATTAGCTCCTGAAAACTTCCTGAACCAAGGATGGCTTCTCTCTGCTTCATCAATGCAGCAGCTCTCCTCTCCATGAGCTTGTGTAAGCTGCCTCTGAACCCAGGTCAGCCTTCAGAACCCACAGCATCCTGTGCCAAGAGCTGCACAGGTAATGACACAGTGGGAAGGAGTGCTCCACTCGCCTGCTTTGAACCCGCCCTGTCTGAGCCTCGCTGCTTTCACCCTGCTCCAGGAAACAGCACCGACAGCTGAGCTCCATCCATCCATTTCCACCCCATTCCTGCTCCAGAGACAGCCCAGCTTCATCCCATTCCTGCTCCAGTGACAGCCCACTTCCATCCATTCCTGCTCAGACAGCTGAGTCCATCCATTTCCATCCCATTCCTTCTCAGACAGCTGAGCTCCATCCATCCATCCACTTCCACCCCATTCCTGCTCCAGAGACAGCCCAGCTCCATCCACTGCTGTTCCAGAGACAGCCCAGCTCCATCCCATTCCTGCTCAGACAGCTGAGTTCCATCCATCCCATTTCCACCCCATTCCTGCTCGAGTGACAGCCCAGCTTCATCCATTCCTGCTCAGACAGCTGAGTTCCATCCATCCCATTTCCATCCCATTCCTGCTCCACAGACAGCCCAGCTCCATCCATTCCTGCTCCACTGCTGGCACAAACCACTGTCACATCTTCCTTTTTGCTGCCTTTTCAGAGGTAGGAAATTTGGACTGATTTGTGATTCCTCACCTGGAAACTACTGACCATGTCTGTGGCCCTTCCTGGAAAGTTCCCTCCCCGTCTCCAGGGTCCTTTTTGTAACAGTGACCAAAAGGAAAGCAGTGCTCAGAGGATACACAAACCACAGACTGAGAATGCAAAGAATCCATCTCCTCCTTCTTTATCAAAGCATATATCTGCAGTAAAAATCACATCACAGCCACATCTGAAATGCCACTACAGCATTTAACTGGCAAACATGAATAACTGAATAAAGGTCCCACTGAATACCTGGTGGAATATCTTCTCAAAGACAAAGAACTATGAAGATGTCTTGTCAAAACCCTGCATGAAAGGAACATGACCACTCCAAAGTTCCTGCCAGCAGTAGTTTTCATTTGTTCCTGCAGTCAACTGATAGTCACAAGTGACAAACGTAACAAACACCCCAAACTCACCCCAGCCACACAGCAGAGCAGGGACGGAACAGAGGAGCCCGTCCTTGTCCTTAGCCTACCAAAGAAGGTACAACGACAAGAGTTCTGTGCAGTCAAATTTACAGACTCCTCACCCTCTAATCCATCACTGCAGACAACCACTTATTCTGTGAGACCACCTGAGAGAGCTGGCTAGCTGAGCTCCACAGTATCACTCAGCTGCTGCATCATTTCCAAGTTTTATACTGAAATCCGGCAAGCCCACAGATAAAGTCTGCTCCTCTCCCATCTGTTATTACTGGCATTGTGAATGCCACAACTTGTTTCAAACTTGTTCTTTGCAGAGCCTTGGAGGTCCACAGGCTCATAAGAAGTTTGACAGCAGCAACAACAAAACAAGTTGCAGTCAGGGACCTTCAAATCTTTATACATGGCTCCCCATCCTTATCCAGGGGCTGGAAAATCTATGCCCTACAAATAAATAAATGCTGAAAATCACTCTAAAGCCATCTTTACAGCAGCAATTCCAACAGCAACTGTGAACCACCGACTTCAGCAGAGCTGGGAGATGTGTGGCAGTGGTGGCCTGGTGGGTTTGTTGGCTGTTAGCAGCTCAGAGGGCAGCCACGGCGTGGGTGAAACCTGGCCTCCCTCATTGCCCTGAAACAGAGCCAGCTATAATTAGAACCATTATGGCTGAGACCAGATTAGGAGCCTGCTACTATTCTGGCCTCGGTGCTGAAGCAGCTTTCACAATAATGACCAGCAGTCCTGTTGTTTCCTAACTGCAGAAAGTCACGGGCTGCTCCGGGGAACGGGAAGTGGCAGCAAACACTCGCTGGAAAGGGGAACTGGGAAGTGCCAGGTTATGGGATCACATGGTCAGAAACACCATTAGAGCCATCCCTCAGACTCACACAGCACCCTGGAGCAGCTGCAACCTCTAGAGAAACATTTGTAAACACACCTGAGAAAAGCTGCTCTGGCCCAGCTTTGCAGGAACTCTTGTTGCTAAGCTGAGTGGAGGGAGTTACTCCATCCTAACTCTACTCTAACAGCGCTTGTAAAAGCACTCAACAGAGAGTTAGAGCTCAACTTCAGAGAAAAGTATTGCAATTCAGCTTCTGATCTTCCACAAAGTGGTTCTGCTAAATAAAGATCTCTCATTATACAAGAGCTCTCCACCCAAATTCAATAGACACATTAAAGCTGAAAAATTCACACGGTAATTTAAGAGATCTGCAATGAAATGAAATTAACATTCTGAGAAGTGCCAACTGAAGTACACGATACACAATTCATCCTTTCCTTTGGGGAAAGAGGACAAATCCTACCAGCACACATCCAGCCAAAAGACGTCTGCAATGTGCTCTGGCCTCCCAAGAACGTGGCTCTGGGATGGACTTTATTCTCAGATACAGATAGATGTACACAGCTATATGGATATATACTCATCTCCCCAACAGCTTTCCACATTCCTGTGCTGGGAAAAGGCACCCAAGAGGGCCCCAAGCTGCACTCCAAGGTAAGGGACATGCTGGAATATATTTAACAAGAGATAAGCCAGAAAAAAGAGAAAAAGGGAAAAATTCAGGCCTCAGCAGAGCTCCACTGATTATTATGGCCCAGCAAGGAGTATTTCTTTTGCTTCACCCTACATAAATCACTGTGAATTATCTGCAAACCCAGCCAAAACCCTGCTCTCCTTGAAATCCTGGGGGAAAAGCCTTTACAAAACCCAGCTACAACAGCTATGCTTCCATTGGCAATGGCTCTTCTTTTGCTCTGTTCCTGCCATTATTTATCTCCCATATTTAACTTTCATAAAGCGTTCTGGGGATAAGCAGTCAGTTTTGAAAAACACCTTACAAGATAAAGTCATATTAAAGCAATTTCACTGGATGGGCTCAGGCTGGCTTAAGCAGAGCTCATGCACTGGGGACACACAATCCTGGGCTATAATAATGTTTTACATTTATATACTGCCTTCCACCCAGAATTCAGAATACACGGAATGCCAAAGAATGACAAATGCAAACTGCACAACAGAGAACAGAGCTATGCTTGGCAAGGATTCTGTGGTGGATTCTCCCTCTCTCAAAGAATTCATGGCATTTCTGATACCTGCTCTAACCAGAACTCAGTGAGCCAGCTCTGGCCTTTCAGTTTAGTTAGAAAAGCTGCTCAGCAGTACCTGAGCACGCTGAAATTCTCTGTTTACGAAGCAGAAATTACATTTCAACATCCACAGCCAGCACACTGCCTCAGCACAGCACTGTAAAACAACTACATGTAACAGCATTCCAGCTGAATGAAGTGCAGGTTGCCTCTCAGAGTTTTCTGTGCAGCCCCTGGGCTCTGCAGGGCTGACCCATGGATGGTATCACTGTGGCGGGTCCCCCCGAGCTCATCTGACAGGATGTGTGCTTCGGGAGCAGCCCAGGTGATGTTTGCCCCGGCCAGAGCAGCTTCCCCATCATGTGATGCAGCACGAGCCTGCACAGAAATGCCCCTCAAGGGCAGCGCAGGGCACAAACACCAACAGCATGGAAAGTGCTGCTTCTGCAGCCTTCCTTTGGCACGGATGGTAAAGGCCTCTGCCACTGCCTTTCAAGGCCCACGTCATCCTTGTCACAGCTAAAATGTGTGTCCTGTACTTCATCCGATGAGCTCCGAGGTCACAAACTCACCAGTGAGGACAATTAACAGTCCACTTAATGACCATGAAGTATTCAACCCAAGTCCTCGAGCTGGTGATGGCCGAGCCAGCTCAGACCCCACAGAGGGTGAGGGTAACCCCAGGCAGGGTAACCAGGAACCCAAGGGTCATACGGGACCTGCCACCCCACAGGCACCAAACTCACCCCAAACACGGCCCAGCCCAACACGCTGCTGGACGAGGCCATTCCCTCCCAGGCCGAGCCCCCGCCGAGAGGGCAGCGGGCCGGCAGTGCCCAGCCCAGCGCGGCCAGCCGCGGTGCCAGCCCTGCCGCCATACCCGACCTGGTCGGCCCCGAACGGGGTGATGTTGGCCTTGACCGAGCCGACGCCCAGCCCCACGAGGACCAGTCCCACGAAGGTGGCGGCGGCGCAGTAGCGGGCGGCTCCCAGCTGCGAGCAGGGCGGCCGGCTGGCGTTGGCGGCCGGCCAGGAGCAGTTCTCCACGGGGAAGAGCGGGATGTCCCCGCAGAGGCCCTGCCGCGTGTGCGGCGCGGCGATGACCGGGAAGGCCAGCATGCCCAGCAGGTAGAGCGCCATGCTGAGCAGGATGGTGCCGAACTTGCCCAGCAGCGCGTCGGCCAGCCAGCCGCCGAACGGCGACACCAGGTATGTGATGCCCATGAAGAGCAGCAGCGCCTGGCTGGCCTGCGCGCCCTCCCAGCCGTAGGGCGGCCCGTTGAGGAACAGCACCAGGTTGGACGTGATGCCGTAGAAGGCCACTCGCTCCAGCAGCTCGGCCAGCAGCACGGCGGCGCAGGCCAGCCGCCGGCCCTGGAAGGCGCTGCCGGCCGCCCGCCCGCGCTCGCCGCT